TGGTTTTCAGTGTGGCTTTCCATACAAGCATATATGGTGCTTTATCAGATCCAGATTCCCACTGCCCTGTCACCCATCCTTGCAGAACCCATCCCTTTCCTTAATCCTACCCTCTTCTACTTTCAGGTCAGCCCTGTCTTCGAGTCCTGAGATTCTTTCTTGTGCTTGATCTAGTCTATTGATGAAAATTTCAACTGATTTGTTTTTTCACTTGACTTATTGAGCTTTTCATTTCCACGATTCGTTTGGTTGTTTTTCGAAATCTCTGTTTTATCAAATTGCTCTTCATATCCTGTATTATCTTCCAAAATTCATTCAGCAATTATGTGTATCATCTTTGAATTGATTGATCATCTTAAAAATTATTCTTTAAAATGATTTTTCTGGCATTTTATCCCTTTTCTTCTTCTCTATAATCGGTCACTGGGGTTCTGATTGATTGGAGGATTCAGGCTGCCTTGCTTTTTTCATACTTCTTCTGATTCTATGTTGAGATTTGCATCTTTGGGGATGAATAGCTCTTCGTCTTCTGTGCTAGGACCTTCTTACTGAGCAGCCTGCTCTTTACAGTGCACACTGTGAAGTCAATTTACTGAGTTTAATTCTAAATGGACTTCAAAGTGCAGTTTCATTGTGATTTCTTCAGCTTTGGTTAGTGAGTTTTACACAATGCATAGGTGTGAGCCTGAGGGACACTCTTTGTTGCTAGATCTCACAAGAGTGGGGTCCCTCGGTTAGCTCAAGTTGGTGTGAGGTAGATGATGGAATGTAAGGGCACACCTTCTGGGGTCACTCCTCCAGTTTTGGCAGAAATGTGTGTTCTGAAAGACTCAACAACTTGTGCTGAGGTTCACTGTAGTTGTGCTATTTCTCTCTACTATTACTATCGAGGTCAATGTTCAAGAGTGGGACTTCGGGTCCCCTCCCATAGCCATGCCAACGTTAATTCAGGTCAATGATGGGGAGATTTTCTCTCTCTTTTCTGTAAGTTGAAATATCTACCAAGGTTTGAATAAGACTAGGTCATGACTGGAGGAAGGTACAATTTCTTTCAACTGGTTTGAGGTATATTTTAGTAGAAAACCACCTGTCCAACATTCTCAAGGTGCTGGACTCAATTCTAGGCACTGCTTGGGAAAGTATAAAAACTATCATAACAATAACATCAAAACAAATAAAGAAATACAGTAAAAAGCAAATAAAAATAGCAACTACAAAATCAATTATGGCAGGAAAGAAAAGGACAAAAATAATAGATTAAAAAGCTAAAGTTAATAGAAGTAAAATTAATAAATTTTTAAAAGGTAACAGAAGAATAGTAAAGAAGGTGAAGCACAGGGTAAAGAAGAATTAAAAATTTTTTTTTATTTTAAAAAAGAAGTTTTTTTTAAAAAAAGGAGGGAGAGTGAGGAAGAAGAAAGGAAAAAAATCTCACTGAAGTATGAAAAATAAAATATAATAAGAATAAGCTGGGTGTAGTGGCATAGGCCTGTAATCTCAGCAGCTCAGGAGGCTGATACAGGAGGATCATGGGTTCAAAGCCAGCCTTAGCAAGAGCAAATGCTGGGGATGTGGCTTAATGGTAGAGTGCTCCTGAGTTTAAACCCCATTAAATATATATATATATATATATATATATATATATATATATATATATATATATATAAAGAATAGAAATGAAAATAGTAATAACAATAGAAGATAGAATAAACAGAGCAATAATTAAGTCAGAAACTCCTTCCAGCTGAAGTATTTGGAATTACTTCTTTTGAGGTCTTGTAAGGTTGGAGGCTGTCAGATATGCGAGGGTGTGTAGTGAATCATAGCTGATGCCTGCTGTGTTTTCTCTTGACTTGTACCAGACAAGTTGAAGAGGTACTAGGCAGTTCCCTGCATTTGTCCTTGGGCAGGCTACAGGATCCATGACCACACCGGGGTCATATTCTCTCCAGAAACTTTGTATACACACCCAGGGTCATGGCTATGTCAGAGCCACTGAATCCCTTGCCAGCTGAGCCGTGGCTGATACCTGGGCATGGGGACTGGCATGAACTTGCTCCGCAGGCCCTCATTCTGCACGCCATGGGGCCTGGCCAACTGGGGGTTACAGCAAGTCCTTCTCACCTACTCAGATTCAGAGGCATATGGAGGCAGGCATATATTCAACCCAGAGGTCTACCATCTGTGAGCCTAAGGACCCTCAACTGACCAAGTCAGGGTGTCCCTTGAATGACTCTGAGTTGGAGCAGCAAGCAAACGCTGAGGCCTGCACTAGGGGAGAATGCAGGACCCAAGGAATTGTGAGCAGAAACTCCCAGACCTTGTTCCCTGGCAAAACCACAAAGAACTGGCCTCACCCCTTATTACAGAGGGTGAGACCATCAACCGCTGTGCCCTCCTCTCCCTTACCCATCATGGCTGTGCCCCACACTGCTGAACCTCTCATAAGGTTTGTCTCACACATGGCCCAAGCCACATGTGTCCTGTAGCCAGCTCCTTCCTGGTCAGTGCAGCTGGGCTGCCGTGAGATTGGTTCAGGTCTTCGGGGGGCCCCCAAAGAAGTTTAATACCTAACTATAGGGCCTTGGACAGCTCCTTCTTAGTACTCTGAGAGTTTGTTGAGCAATGTTATGAATTTCTTCTCTAAAGCTAGTTTGTTGTACAGGAGGAGCCACATTGGGATCAAATCACCAAATTGCATTTAAATCTTGTAAAAACCACTGACTTCTCCTGCACTTAGGATGCCAGGCTGCGGTTGTTACCGGGATTGCTTGCATCCTCTGGTTTACCTACCTATACTTGTGACATAGGATTTCCCACCCCAGCTGGGGAGCCGTCAGGACGAATTGCTTCAGACTTGATCCTGATTTCCCTTTCTGATTCTCCATGCTATTTCTTGACACTTCTGTTTTTGTTCCCAGAGTTCTTCCTCTCTTTCTGTCCTCAGAATATATCTTCTTTTTGTTGTCCTGATTCGTCTCCCTCAGGGACATGGGGAGGGTACTTTTGCTCTGCCATCTTGCCCTGCTGTCTTTCTCCTCAGTAGTTTACACAAGTGTCTCCACAGTGAACATCTAGCACTAAAGCATCTGTGTCATGAGATTTAAAAACTTTACTTTATATTACTAAACTTATCTCCAGGTAATCCGAACTATTTAGCAGTCCTGTGAATAGTAACTCAAGAACTTCTGTTTCTCTAGTGCTTGATATTCTTTTTTAAAAAAATATTTATTTTTTAGTTGTAGTCAGACACAACTCCTTCATTTTATTCATTTTTTTTTAATGTGGTGCTGAGGATCAAACCCAAGGCCTCACACGTGCTAGATGAGTGCTCTACCGCTGAGCCACAGCCCTAGCCCTTGATATTCTCATATTGTTTTCCACTTTTCCAGTGATGGGCATGAATGGTTCTCATATTCTGATTTGCACTTTCTTGATTACTAGTGCAGGTGCACCCTTTCATTCATTTATTGGTGATCCTTATTTAATCCCCTGTGAATTACTCATTTGTATTCTTTACAGGTTCCCACTGGGCAGTTGGTACTTCTGTTTGTTACTTGTGAGTTGCTAATATCTTTTCTCAGTCTATGGCAAGATTTTCATTTATTTACAGGTTTATTTGCAGGGGTGCCAGGGATTGAACCTAGGGGTGCTTAACCACTGAGCCACATCCCCAGATCTTCTTTGTATTTTATTTAGAAGCAGGGTCTTGCTAAGTTGCTTAGGGCCTCACTCAGATGCTGAGACTAGCTTTGAACACAAGGTCCTCCCGCCTCAGCCTCCTGAGCTGCTGGTATTATAGGCATGTGCCATAGCACCCAGTTTGCAGGTTTTTTGTTTTGTTTTGGTACCAAATATCTTACTTATGATGTAGCAAATGCATACCTATTATCTTTATGATTTGTGCTTTCGGTCTCAAGTGGAAATTCTTCCTTACTGGAAAGTCACAAAGATATTATTCTATATTTTTCTCAAAAAGCTTTAAAGTAACTCACTTTTTCATATGGATAAATAATTGTCCTAGTATAATAAATAAAGTCCATCTTTTCTCCTGCTCATTTGTAATGCCACCTCTATCATCTATGGTTGTCATATATGAGTATGTCACTTTCTAGGATTCCTGTATTCTATTTGGAGTTTATCCTACATCAATATCTTTACTATTTATTTATGATAATTATAATTCCTGGTAACTCAAGTCTAATATCACAGTTCTTAAAATTGTGGCAATTATCTCTAGCCACATGTATTTGCTTTTGTAGTTTTCAAGTTCTCTACAAGACTCTGAATGTTTATTATTTAAATTATATTATATTTAGATATTAATCTGGAGTGCACCATAATTTCTCCCCAAAAGAAACATATGAATGCAATTTTACACTTACTTGTGTCATTTTCTATGATCTCTAATTTTTTTAAGCTTTATGCTCTATATAACTTATAGATAACATATAAATAACATACTATATTGATTATTGTTATTAATTATTAATGTATTCACTATTAGGAAATAAATTGATCTTTGTATGTTCATTAGTCCTAATATCTGCCTACAGATTGCCTTTCATTCTTAATGTAGGAGATCATAAGAAAAATAAGAACAGTTTTATATCTTTCTTTGTGATCATTAGTTTTATAATTTCTTTCCCATTTTTCCTTTCTTGCAATCAATTTTGAATATGGCACTGTCAATCACTGCATTTTGCTGTTGAATAGAAGCTGTGTACCGAGGTATCACTTTCTTGTCCCTTACTGTATGGAAATCTCAGTGTTTTATTGTAGCTCCTTTTGATTGTTTCGTTGCAATGCTGGGTATTGAACCCAGGGCATCAGGTATGCCAGGCAAGTGCTCTACCACTGAGCCACACCCTAGCTCCTCTTGTCCCAACTGGACATGTGGCTAAAATTAAGTTAGAGAAGTTAAAAAAAAATATACAGTTTACCTGTGAGTTACCAAGTGTGATGTACTAGTCCACTTTTTGTCACTCTGACCCAAATACCTGACAAAGAACAGCTTAGAGGAGGAAATGTCCATTGTGGCTCCTGGTTTCAGAAGTTCAGTCCATGGCTGCCTGGCTGCATTGCTGTGGGCTTGAGGTGAGGCAAACATCATGGTGGATGGGTGAGGTCCAGGCAGGTGGCTTAGCTGATGGCAGCTGGAAAGCAGAGAGGGACAGTGAGGAGCCAGGGACAAAATATAACCCAAAGAGGATGTCCCCAGTGACTTGCTTCCTCCAGTCACTCCCCACCTGTCCACAGTTGACTACTCCACCAGCAATCTACACTTAAATTATTAATCATCAAAGGGATTAATCACCTGGTTAATAGAACCCACTGTTGGAGAGTCTCCTCATAGTCTAATCATGACACCTCTGGACATTGCTACATTGCTCAATGTGAGTTTTTTTGTTGTTGTTGTTTTGTTTTTCCGGAGGGGAGGTGGTGTATCTCACATCCAAACCCTAACAAACAAATTAGTTTGGGAATTTGTTAAAGACATGTTAAGCATTTGTCATCATATGATTTATTTTCTTTTTTGATTTTTTTATGTGAGATTTCTGGAGTAATGGATCTCATGAGGTTAAACTGTTTTTGTAACCCTGGAAAATACCCTAATTAATTATGGCAAATTCACTTACCCACCCCCAATTTTGTTTAACATTAGTTTATTGAAGAACTTTGCATCTGTTTGCACTGCTGAGCTTGCATCCTGCTGTTTACTGTGGTATAGACAGACAGGGGTCCACTAGCCCTGTGCCTTTACTCTTCTCCAAAATGGTGGTTACAAAATAAGCATGTCTGGCCCCTTGGAAGCTTGGTAAAATTGACTTTCTCAGCTTCATTTCTATTGGGGGTGGTTTTGCACATCTCCTGGTCATGAGGCCATAACTCTATCTATTCTATTTCTCACCAGGAACTGTAACTGGCTCTAGACTTCAAGTAACAAATGTCAAATCTGTGCCTTTCTTGAGGATGCACTTTATGTCCTGAAAACTTCTGCCTACTGAGAGCCCAAACTCAGAAATGTCATAGCATCTACTCTGCGCACAATCTTGCATTTCTTTTTTTGTTTCTGCTTAAAATGATGTTGCCTTTGTATTCGAGGAGGGCATTGTCCTTCTAAATTTCTTGTTTTATATTTTACACACCTTTGATAAGTTGTTGGGACCAAAGGTGTTATCAAAATGTGAACTGGTTTCACATGTTTAACTAACCACCTGAAAAACTTAGTTTTCTTTTTCAGCTGTTTGCAGCTGGATGGGTCAGTTTCCTGGGGCTGTTGTAATGAAGGACTGCAAACTGGGTGGCTTAATATATATATCTTGATGTTGTATTTCTATCTTCCATATATAGAAATACAACATCAAGGTATGTGCAGGACCATGCTCCCTCTGGAAGCTTTGGGGAAGAATACTTCCTTGTGTTTTCCTAGCTTCTGGTACTTTGCTGGTGATTCTTTGCCCTTCTTGGTTTACAGCTGCTGAACCCAAATCTGCCTCTGATGTCAAGTGGTGTTCTCTCTGGGTTGTCTCCTCTTCCTACAATGATTCCAATCATGCTGGATCGTGGGTCTACCTAATAACCTCATTTTACTTTAATGCAAAGACCTTATTTCTAAATAAGGTCATGTTTGCAAGTACTGGTTGTTAGAATTTCAGCATATCTGCATGGGAGACAAAATTCAACCTACAATACTGGATATACACTGCCATCAATTCCATATTGAATTTAATATTCAATGTTACATATAATCATGTATGTGTATACGTCAATATTCAACTTACATGTGTCCTTAAACACACACACACACACACACACAGATGGCTAGGCATGAATTTGTGAGTTTCTCATTGTTCCATCTCAGATTCTGACATCTAAATGTTCAACAACCCTGGCCTTCATTTTTTAATTCTACATAGTATTCTCCCTTGGTTTGAATTCAAACTATAACTCTGATTGATTACGCTAATGAAAGGAAGTCAGCAAAAAGGTCTCAAGTTTCTTATCCTAATAGCAACAAAGTTCTTTAATAAGAACAATCTATCTGCACAATTTCTAAATAATATGAAGAAAAATAGTATGGGATTATTTTGGATCAGTCAGATTCTACCTTCTTAGGTTTTATGGACATTTATAGTTTTAAAAACTAAAGTGTTTGGAACTGATTGAAGAAAGAATAGCAGTAAAAATCCCCTTGCAGTGATATGTCAAAGATTTCTAGTGAACTAACTAATCAGAGAATATAGTCCTTGTAGTATAAATATAAGACATACTTGGAAAGTCAAGGGTCAAGTGTTTCCCCTCATATGTGAAAGCTACAGAGAAAAATAACAAAAGAGGGTCTCTCAAAAATAGAAGTGGATGGAGAGTAGAGGCCAGGGCCTAAGAGGGAGGGATGGGGAGAGAAAGGAAAAGTGGGGAGGGCAGTGGACAGAATCATGCTGTGTACATGTATGAATACATCACAACACCTTCCAATTCTATATATAACTATAACTGTAAAATAAATAAAAGGAAGACCAACAGATTAGCAGAAGAGGATTGGGGGAAGAAGGAGGGGAGTGGAAAGGGAAAGTACTGGGGACTGAAATGGAGCTAACAGTTATATGAAAAAAAATTTCCCATTAAACTAACAGATCAGAGAATATAGTCCCTCTAGTCCAACAAACAAACAAGCAAACAAAAAATGAAATGACTGGGAAGCAAGACTATTGAAATTCATGGTGAATGACCTACAAATGCTTTATGGAATATTATAATAAAACATATCAGTTGCTTCTGAATTAAAGATTATGCAACATCAACAAGTAAGTATAGAATGACTATTATTTCCAAGATTCATGTATTGAGATTTTGGGTAAAACATGATACTCATTTAGGCATAGGACCAGTGTTAAGAGCTTGTCAGAGGGAATACAAAAGAAATGTGCAAATTTCCTCAATGATTAGCGAACAAATACATTATTTTTATGTTGTTATTTATGTCTCAACCATTGGTCTGTTGATTGGACCAATAAATGTTAATTTTATTAGTGATAGATAAAACATCAAAATCAACAATTATTAAACTATATTAATGCTCCTTATTTGCTCTTCATGCTATTTTGTGGGTGTTTTCAATATCTCTTTTGTGTGCTAAGAGTACAAGTCTTCCCAGAGGACAATACCCTCTGCCATTATCTTCTGAATATATGAGTCAACAAAGAAGCAGTGGCCTCTTTCAAATTATCATTGATAGATGCTAGTCAATTTACTTTCATTTTTTAACCATGACAAAAGTGCTATTTCTCTGCCTCACCTGCTGGACCATGCCAGCTGGATAGGTACCAAATCTCTAAAAGTACCAATTAAAATAAAAATAGCTAAATCTGGAACAAGTATCAAAGTGCAGCTTTGGAACAGTGTGATAATGTATAAGTGATCATTATCAACACCTGCAGTCTGCTTTGCTTATGATGACTCATTGACAATAGTCTAATGGTAGCACAAAGGGCTAAAAGGGGAAAATAGAAAACTTCAACTTTCTTAGTGATAATTAAACTAATTTTTTTTATCATTTTAAAAAATAAGTTCACTCAACTATATGGATATCAAGCTGCATCAGTATGTCTGTCTTCAAGTTTTTCCATTTTCCAACTGCATTTCAACTGAAATACTGTCTGTCTGTAATGGGGGAAAGCCTTTCAAATTATCCAATTGCTTATTAAGTCAACCTTCATGAAGAGATATGTCAGCAGATGGGGTAGAGAGAGAAGATGGGAGGGGAGGGGAGGGGGGATAGTAGAGGACAGGAAAGGTAGCAGAATACAACAGTCACTAGTATGGCATTATGTAAAAACGTGGATGTGTAACGGATGTGATTCTGCAATCTGTATACGGGGTAAAAATGGGAGTTCATAACCCACTTGAATCAAATGTATGTATGAAATATGATATGTCAAGAGCTTTGTAATGTTTTGAACAACCAATAAAAAAAAATGAAGAGATATGTCTAACTGAGGACTGCAGAGAACCACTCTCAACCGCCATTGCAAAGGTGAACCCTAATCATGGTGACTTCTGTGGTCTGGTTCATGCACCTCCTTCTCTTGGTCATCATTATGACCAAGACACCTGACAAGAATGACTTAGAGTAGAAAGGCTTTATTTCGGCTCATAGTTTCAGAGGCTTAATTCTTGGTTGGCCGACTCCCTTGCTCTGGGTATGAAGGGAGACAGAACTTCATGGCAGAAGGGTGTGGAAGGAGAAAGCTGCTCATCTGTGACAGGAACCAGGGAGTGAAAAAGAAGAGCTAGGGGAACAAGATAAAATCTCCAGGGTACAGTCCTAGAGACCAGCTTCCTCTAGCTCCACCCCACTTTCATTTACCAACCACGAAGTCCTTTCAAATTATTAATCCATCAAATAAATCAATCCATGGATTAGTTTAGAGTTCTCATAATCTAAACATTTCACCTCCAAACATTCCTGCATTAGCACAGGGTCTTGGGGGGACATTTCACATGCAAATCATAGCAAGCTGTCATGTACATTGTTCTGTTTCTGGAAACCGATGTCTGAAGAAATAGAGTTATCTTCCACTCTGTTTATACTCAACAGGCCATTGTGTCACAGGGATAGGATAATTGAGTAAAGATTATGGTTTAGAAAAAGAATCTGGAAGGAACAGAGCAGTAGGTGGTGGCAGAAATCCTATAGGTCAGGCATTATGAAGGCCATGGGTTTGGAATTTTCAGAATTAGACCAGTCTGTTCTTTTGGTGGAAAACCCATGTCCATTAGGCATTAAAGCCTTGTTTCTTCTTCTGCCATGTTCTTCACTTTCAATTTTCTTACTTAGGCATATTGGAAATGGTATTAGAAAACAGGTCCTGTAAGATATGTATAGCCCATTTCCTGCTTATGCAAGGGTTTCAAATGTAGCTTATGTCCCCCAAATTCAAGACTTTTGGGGTTGAGGCTCATGATTTCTTCAGCAATACAATTTTTTTCAAAAGCTTAGTTCTGTTTACTTAGGGTTCCCTATACAATGACCACCAATGTTCTTTCCAGTCTTGTTTGCTTCCAAAACCCCACAACTTCCATTCTTGATGGAATTATGGTGTCCATAAGACCATCTGGAATAAACAGGTAGAAAGACCACATCTTAATTTGATCTGTAACCTGAATTAGAAGTTTGATTAGAATTTGGTGGTGGGGTTTGTTTGTTTGTGTATTTTTTTTTTGGAGGGGGCCATATTTTAAAATGCCAACTCTTAGAACAGATTTACAAACAGCTTTTCCAAACCTGTTTCTGGATTTTTTCCATTGCTCCTGTTATTAATGCTAGTAAAACCTCCCAATTCTTTCTAACTTTATCTTGTCAAAATTATCAACAGCAATCAACATGCACTAAGATTTTTTTTTTCCCACACAAGAGCTACTTTCTCAATAGATAGGAATTTGCCTCTCAATTTACACCGGGTAGCAGTATATCAGATGAATTGGTACCAAACAACTTGAATTTCCACAGTTTCCAGACTTTGATGTCAGTCTCACTACTTGTCAGTGCCTGCATTATTTGAGAAATCAATCTTTGTTTTGTTTTGTTTTTAAACAATTTCTCAAAGTCCAGGAGAGTAACACTTTTAAAATGTACTATTTTCTTATGTTACAATCTGAGGTGAGTTCAGAAGCAATCTTGAGACGATTTCTAGACATTTGACTCAGGAATTTAGTTCTTTACTTCTGGTCACAGAGGGGCAAAAGGAACATGAAGATTCCTTGGAACACTGTAGGTCAAGCCCAGTGTTAGTGTGGTCATTTGTGACTCTTCACATTGGTATAACACAGTCATCCGGCCCCTCATTGATGTCAGTGAAACTCTTCTTCTTTGGCTAGAAAATCGTGTGGCAATCTCATAACTACTAAAAACCTCAAAGTATTTTTATTGTAATGATTAATTTGAATTGGACCAGTATTTTGCATTTATTCTCAAAGGATATTTTCATGGATATAAAATTCTAGTATGGTAATTATTTCCTTCCAGTAAATTCAAGCCATCATCCACTGATATCTGCCCTCTATTGTAACTGTTGAACAGGCAACCATCAATGTAACTATTGTCTTTTAAGATACCTATCAACCCCTTCTTGGTTTCAAAAATTCATTTCAACATTTTCTTCCCCAGTTTTATTGTCTTATTTTTAAAAACTTGATAGTTTTACTACGTTGTAAAGTCAAATAGTCATACTGATTTTTCTAGGCAAACTTAATTTATGAAATCAAGTAGTCAACTGAGAAGTTTCTTTATAAAATATTCCAATTAATAAATCAAGAAAGAAAGAATTATAGCCATTTTACAACTCCTGATTTGAATGAATCTAAGTAATGATTAATTTCAGTCTCCAGTTTTCTATGACAATTCAATCCAATCACCAGTGGATTACAACAACATTTTTATTTCTCTCATAATTTTATGAGCAAGGAATTCAGGAAGGACGTGGCTGGGCATTTCTCACTTGGACTCTGTCAGTTCCAAGCAAAGTTTAGCTAAAGCAGTAGTGATCTGAGGACTCATGTGGAATGAATGTTTAGTTCCCTCATATAGCTGAAAGTTGACAACTGAAAGCTCTTACCTGGAAGCTTTTATGAGACTTTTATAGAAAATCTACAACTGGATTCTTCAGTATGACGGTATCAAAATACTCGTTCTTGTTACACAGCAGCTGACTTCCCTTAGAGAAAGATGGCTGACTCCAGAATCAGTTGGATTTTGGGCTGGAAGACTGTACTAGAAATCTCTATCCTGTAAATAGTAGGATGTTAAGCAATATCCCTATCCAGGCACTAGATGGAAAGAAGTACTACGCTCCCAGTTGTGACAACCAATATCCAGACATTACCATAAGTCCCTAGGAAATATGGAATGTAAGCTTAGGTTGCCCTTGGTAGGGAATGGTTGCCCAGGAGTGAGAATCCAAAAGAGAAAGCCAGGTGTAAATTGTGTGATTTGTGTGTTTGTTTTTCTGATTGGCTTGAAAAATATCACAGCCTTACATCTGCTAGATTCTACCGGAAACAAGCTGAGATTCAAAAGAGAAACAAAGATATCCCATATCCTAATGATGGATATGTCAAAACTTTTCAACACCTTTTAAAATAATTACAGAAAAGTAATTTGAAATGCACAGGAAAATACAAAGATTTAATAAACAAAACATAGGGCTTTAATAATGAACAGAATCCAACCAATCTACTACCGCACTCTGGCTGGGCACAAATCACGAGCCACTGAAGCAGGAACAAACTTTATTTTTGAACTGCAGGAAAACACTTCACACAGCTCCCGGGGAATCCTCCCGAACGCCACGTGGCTGGTCCAGGAACCCCCAGCCGGAAATATATCTCCGGGAAATCCCTCCTCCTGCACTTCCCCAACCAATGGGCACTCTCGGGGAATCCCCGGAAATCCCCATGAGAACTCTAAAATAGTGCGAGAACTCAAAAGTAGTGGCAGAGGCGGATAGTAATGCCTCGACTGTCAATCAATACTGTTGGCAAAATGCCAGGGGCCATACAGACTCGGCTGTGGCTCTCAGCAATCTACATGGAATAAAGTCTGTTAAAAGACCTAGTTTGTCCAGTAAATAAAATTCGAGTCCTAAAAAGATGAAGCACTACCAAACGAGAGAGACTAGAGAGACTCATCAACCATTGCCACACATATATCCTATTTAAATTCTGACTTAAGCAATGTTAAAAATTTGGAGATGATTCATAAATTGAATACTGACTGGATATTTCATATTAAGAAATTATTGTTAAATGTTTATCTGTGATAATAATATTATGGTATTATTTCAAAAAAGATTCTTTATACGTTAGAAGCATATCCCAAAATAGTTGAGGTTGAAACAATATGATATCCTGCATTTTCTTTAAAATAAAAAAGGGTTGCATTCAGAGAATAAATCCTTTCTAGTTCTTATAAATCAAATGACTTTATGCACCATCACTTGTAGAATTTAGAAATGGTCACACCCTGACTTAATTTTAATGCAATTAATTTTCCCAAATTTTAAGGGAATTTATATTTTTTACAGTAAAGTCTCAACATTATTTTTAAAATTTTAGAATTTAACTCAAATTATACAATATGTACTCAAAAATTTTTGGAAATGTAAGAATATTTGAACTAAAAATAACAACAAAACTAATATTAAATACTATTTTTTGTACCTCCTTTTGGTCACATTTTTATTCATAAAGTTGATGCTAACATAACTAGAGTAACACTGTACATACCAAATTTTTAGTCAACATTATATGAGATAATATAAAGAATTATTTAAAATTATTCAATAATTCTCTCTCGGTAAAATTTTAGACTTTTATTCTCATAGGTCTTGAACAAGATGAGATAATTCCATTTTTCTGAACATTTAAGAAATATTATAAAAGGAGACTTATTTTCCCCCATATATACCCACTACCTATAGGTAGCATAGATGTTAAAACAAGTTTTTAAAACTCAATTCATTTATTTTAGAAGTTTCCAGTTGTTTCCCTTGAATTTTCTAGATGCAACTTCTTAATTTTTCTATCTTCCAACTGATTAAATCTGTCACTTCTGTTTCTTTTTTCTTTTTCTTTTTTTTGTGTGTGTGCTGTCAAAATTCCCAAATTTTATTGTTAAATAATAATGGTACTGGAAAACTGAAATTAAAATATAATTTAAAAGTTAAGGTAAGTTCAGTGTTTTCAAACTGAAGATGTCATTTCAGGATTTTTCAGTTCTTGGGGGATACAGACTGACAAGTCTGGCCTGGCAGTGAGTCACAACGGTCTATTATAGACCGGGACCCATCGCAGTCATGATATTTGGGTCAATTCCTGGAGAATTTGAGATCGATCCTCAAAACTGGCTTTTTAAGTTCAAGAAAGTCACTGGGGGCTGTTCCTGAGAAGGGTGGAAATGACACCAGACGTGGAGAGCTAAGATGAATTCAGGACTGGACCCAAAGCCTTCAGGATATTGGAAGTTTTGTCATCCCCAAACACAACCCCAACCAAGATTTATGAGTGATGGACATTTGAAAACAGTTTCTAATCCTTAGATCACAAAACTCAGCTAATCACTAAATAATTTATAAACTCCATAGAAGCACAGCTATGACTCACCAATTACCTATTCTGGACATCGAGGTCAGTAGCCAGCCATGGGCACAAATAATAGAAACAGATGGCACTTTTGTACCTCATTAAAGGCAAAAGAACATAGTCATATAAATCCTAATATTTTCTTTTGTTAGTCAAAGAAATGCTTTCATAACAGTGAAAAAAAATCAGTCAGTCTGACTAGCTATTTTTGACTGCCAGATATTTGATAAATTGTATACCGAACAAAGTACCATTTTGAAATTGTCTTTGTCTTATAGAAAACAGAAGCTAAAAGCAGAAAGTATAAAAGCTGTTACACCTACTCTGGCTCTATTAAATGTTAGAAAAACTGAACCAGAAAACAATTACATACATTATCTCTTTTGGAAAATCTGGGTCTGGTCTATATTAATGTGTGATTTCTCAGTCTTCCTAATTTTTTTCTTTTATATTATGTCCTACTAGCTAAAGCCAGGAAGAAAAAAAGTACTACGCTGAATATGAAGGCTTTTTAAATCAGGAAACTGCCAGACATGGAGGTACCTGCCTAGGGTCTATATGAGGATGACCAGCAATTTCATTTAAAGGGGATTCAAACATTCAATGTCTGATTGGATCTTATGACCTCTAATATTACATCCATTGCCAGGGACCTTTAAGTCTAAAATCATAAAGTAAGATTTCTCGATGTCCTATCATATCCCAGTTATCTATAAATTACAAAAATAAGAAATTACCTGAAAACTCATTGATATAAAACAACACTTTTATTATGCTCATTCATTCTGTGGACCTGGCTTACATCTTCTGCTCCACGATTTCTGAGGTCTCCGTGAAACAAACAAACAAACAAACAAACAAAACACAAATAATAGTCCATTATCATTATGAAATGGAATAGAAGCCCAAACTGAGAAAATAATTAAGGAAACCCCCCAAATCCAAAACAGAGAACCAAGGCATGTATAATTATTTTCTTTTACCTAAAATTTTTAAAATTCTTTACAAAAAATCCTCTCAGATAAAGGGAGGACCATGAAATTGTAGGAATTCTGGAACACCCTTATAATGGAAATACTACATATCAAATACTACATATCACAGGATAAAGTACAGATTTACAGAAAATGCACAGTCATACATAAATACATCAATAAAAAAATACAGAATAGTATTTTCTAACAAAGTTTGAAAAAACACAAGGTTGACCAAAAAACTAGAATGAAGGGAAAAATTATAATGATAAAAGCAGAAATTAATGAGGTAGAAATCAGATAAATAGTAGAAATAATAATAGTGGTTCCTGAAAATATTCAACCACAACAACAAAAAAATAGCTAATTTAATTGTTTTTTAAAGGCAAGCACAAACCTAGAAGTAACAAGCTAGAAATAACCATTGAGAGACACTTCTGAGCACACACAAATACATACACACATGCAAGTCTGTATTACTAGTTTTTTTTTTTTTTTACAAATCAAAGCAAATATTTTTTAAAATCAAGATAAATGTGCAATTTTCCATGAAAATGTAATCTTAAACAATTGGCCATAGCAAAAATGGTGACTATAGAGGAATTTCCAAAGCAGACCTAGAAAAACAGTTATTAAAGCACTGTCATATAAAAGTACCATTCCCAGGTAATTTCACAGAAAAATTTTACAAAGACTGGTAAGTAGGTCCACAAAGGCTTGTGATGCTAATACTGTTAATATTAATGTTCATTTTTAATTGTTTCAGAGTATTGGCAATAGCACTCTTCATTCTCTTTCCATAGTCCTTTTTCTCCTGCACTAAGTTTCTTTTCTTGATTTTGTTTCTGATTTTTACATAACCAACAAGCTATTTTCCATTGATGGCAACAATGATTGGGATTTGATGTTATGGTTTCATGCAAGGCCTGGCAAGCTATTTTTGTAAAAGGCCAGATGGTAAATATTTTAGGCTCAGAGACCATATGGTCTCTGTTGCTACTACTCTACTCTGCCATGGTAGTGCTATTTTGATCTTTTTAGATGGTATGTTAGTCAGATTTTTATCACTGTGACCAAAGTGCCTGGCAAGAGCAACTTAGAGGAAGAGTTTATTTGGGACTCAGAGTTTCTGAGCTCTCAGCCTTGGTCAGCCAACTCCATGGCTCTGGGCTGGAGGTGAGGTAGCACATCATGGTGGAAGAGTATGGAAGAGGAACACGGCTCAGCTCATGCCAGCCAGCAAGTACAAAGAGATAATGGGGCCAGGGAAAAGATGCCCTTCTAGGGCATGACCCCAGAGAGCTATTCCACACTAGTTCCCACCTTCCAGTAGTCCATTCAACTAGCAATGGATTAATCCATGAGGAGAGAGACCTCCTGCTCCAATCATTCCCTAAAAGCCCCACCTCTGAACCTTGAGGCACTGAGCTGTGTTTTCAACACATCAGCTTTTAGGGGAGTATTTTGGATTTAGTGATGACACATAGCTACTCAAAGTACCATCAACAATGTAGCTCATAAACAACAAAAATATGTTTCTCGAAGTTTCGAATGCTGGAGAGCCCAAGGTCAAGGTGCCTACTGAGGGCCCACTTTCTAGTACACAGATGACGGCTTCTCCCTGGGTCCTCACCTGGTAGAAGGGGTGTCTCCCATCAGCCTCTTTCTCAAGGTTATTGATTGTCCTCAGCAAGGCACCACCTCCCTGAGCTAATCACCTCCCAGAGGCCCCACTTCCCCAAACCATCACTTTGGGGGTTAGGATTTCAACGTATGGATTGGGTCGGGGTGAGGGGGGATACAAACATTCAGATAATAATAATCAAAAGCAACCACAGACAATGTGTAGATGAACAAGCATGGCTAGGGCCAATAACACTAAGTATAGCTACTACAATTTTAATTTCTTATGCACATGTCCCACAATACTATTTTTATTCACTTTCAACTGTATTAAAGTGTTAAATCTTTTATTTGTGTGTCTTTCAAAAATAGCAGTGGTAGCCAAACACCATGGCACACGCCTGTAATCCCAGCCCCTTGGGAGGCTGAGTCAGGAGAATAGCAAGTTCAAAGCCAGCCTCAGCAAAGGCAGGCCCTAAGCAACTCAGTGAGACCCTGTCTCTAAATAAAATACAAAATAGGGCTGGGGATGTGGCTCAGTGGGTGAGTGCCCCTGAGTTCAATTCCCAGTACCAAAAAAAAAAAAGAAAAAATAGACAGTTGGCCCATGGACCCACTAGTCGCTGACCTCTGATCTCACTATTTGGTGATCACTGTTGGTAGGTGATAGACTTCTATTCCTTGTTAGTGGAGAGACAGGAGAATCTAGCTTTCAGACATTTTATTTTTTATGTATTTTGATCTCAAATTGATTTTAATTGTCTGTACTCGTTGGAAAGAATACCTTTCTCATGTGTGGAGTGATGTGATTTTTTTATGTTGGTGTTTACTTTCGACCTGTGGCTGAATTTTACAGTGGAAATTGTTCTGGCCTGCATCTGTCTCTTTGTCTCTACTTAAGCAATGGGCTTACCTTCCTACCTCTGGAAGTTTTTCATAAATTATATTATTTTATCTCTTAAATGAAAAAAAAAACTCTATTGGGATTGGTTTGTAGAGATAAATAAACATATAAATAAAACATTCCTAAAATTCTGAGAAAATAAGAGAATTAAATTTCTAATATTTTTAATTATTAGAAGGTAGACTTAAAGCTAGACTTTAAGAAATATTAATGATTTACAGAAATTGCTGGCACAGAAAAACTTTGACAAATGAGAATACACACACACACAACCTTGCAAAATAAGAAAACATTTATAAAATTATAAAATGAGTGAAATCAAATTTTAAAAAGTAAATAAAAAGAATAAAAATTGGGAATATGAAAAAATTAAGAATAAAAGATTAAAATACTTTAATGAGAAAGAGCTTGTTTCTGCTGAGGTGGTCAAAACCATATGCAAAGATGGATTTTCATTTCTTATATTTATTTTGGGGCTCTGCCCCTTGGGCCAGAGGTTAGAGTTGTTAATTTAATGTCTTTGTGTTCCTCACCCCACCACTCATTGAGGCCAGGAGCTAAAGCTGATCCTAGCAGCTATCAGCTTCCTGTCTCCCTGGATATGGTGGGACAGAGCAGGGTGCTGACATGAGGCGTGCTCCAGTAGTTGGGCTACTGCAGAGATATCAACTGGAAGTTCCAGTATTTGGGTGTTGCTCTTGGCTGACATTTGGAACTCTCTTGGTGGGTATTTGAGATTTGATTCACACCTCCTTTTGCTAGGGAGATGCTAATCTCTGTTGGATGTCTGTATCTCAGGGGCCTCCCATAAATTCTGCTTTTACGGTATAGAGTCTAAACCCCACAGGTTTCACATTCACCAGCCGCTCTTGTCTGGCCATTATTGGCATCTTCCCAAGAGTGTTTATGGAACACCAGCAGCAAAAGGAGCCATGTTGCCTTAGTATCCAGAGCCTGGATGCCCAGGCACAATCCTCTTTGTACCCATTTCAGTCAAACTGGTCCAGGCACACTCTGGGGACCACAGAAGGTGACTGCTGGGTCCAATGACAACTTACTTTATGAGTTTCCAATGTTTCAACTCTGCTCACAGGTACATGGTGCTTATAATTGTTCCCACACAATGACCCTGGTTCCTGCCCAACTATCCACTATGGACCTAGAGATTTTGGTTTGCTTTTCACTCAACAACTTCCCCAATTGACTCTGGGTCCATTAAGATCAGACTTCCTCTCTACCCCACTGGTTGCCCCACACCATTTTAACCCCATTTGCTTTCCTCTCTCTCTGTTTGCACTCCCCTCCCCTCAGCAGCCAAGTTGGTGCATCTGTAATATATTACTTCTTATATTATGTTCAAAGTTTCTGACTTTCTGGGTCTCTGTGGTTTCTTTTACTGACTAGCACTGAATTTCAGTTCCTCCCCTTAGTAACCCACTTTGCTGAGGAGCCGTCTTCCTGCTTTTTAAGTCTGAAACTAAGGAATTGCTGAGAAATGTACCCTTTTCCTAATCCATCATCTTCTCTCCCCTGGAAACTAATCTTCATAAAGACTTTGTTAAAAGCACTCAGAAAAGATTGAATCCTCGGCTATTCATATTGCCATGAATGCATTCCATGAACATAATGGAAATGTTGTTGTATTATAGTCACCTTTATTATTCTTCTCCAAGTAGCACTGTTTGATATATTTAATGTTTATCTCGTTAATGAAGGTGTACATGAGTTTATGCTTCTTCTGGAAAACAGGGAATAAAGTAATTAACACAGTAATAAATATGTTTATCTGAATTTAAGATTGTGCCAATGCATACCAATTCAGTTTAGTCAGTAGTGTGCAGTATTTGAATAGGAAAAAGCTTAATAAATTCTAGGATCAGAAATAAGACTAGGGAACCACTCTCACCATTTTTACTCAATATAGCACTAGAAGTTTTAGCCACAGCAATTAGACAAGAGAAAAAAAATAGAAAGGAAGAAGTCAAATAGGAAGGGAAGAAGTCAAATTATTCTTGTTTGTAGAGGATATGAGTCAATACATAAAAGCACCTAAAGAGTCCCCCCAAAAGAGTATTAAAAGTGATAAATGAATCCAACAAAACTACAATATGAAAAATCAGCATACAAAATCAATAGTATTTTTATGGATCAATAATGAACTTGCTGAGAAAAACAATCATGAAAACAATCCCATTCACAATCGCTATAAAACATAAATACTTAGGAATAAAATCAACCAAGGAAGCAAAAGACTTCTACAATAAAAATTACCAAACACTGACAAAAGAAATTAAAGAAGGCACATACAAAAATAGAAAGACCACCAATGTTCACAGATTACAAGAACTGGTATTGTTAAAATGTATTTACTACACAATGTGGTTTAGAAATTCAATAAAATTCTCACCAACATTCATACCATCAGACAGTTTTCACAGAACTAGAAAAAGGAATCCTAAAATTCATGTGGAATCCCAAAGTACCCAGAAGAACCAAAGATCTTGAGCAAAAAGAGCAAACCTTGATGCGTCACAGTACCTGATGTTAAGACACTACAGAGCCATAGTAATCAAATAAGCATGGGACTGGCATTTCACAAACTCATAGACCCATAGACCAGACTAGAGATTCCAGAAATAAGCCCACACAGCTACAGCCACTGGTTCTTGACGAAGGTAACTAAAGCACAAAATGAAGAAGGGACAGCCTGTTCAAAAAACAGTTCTTGGAAAATCAACTGCACATATGCAGAAGAATAAGACTAGGTTTCAGCCTCTCACCACTGACATAACCATCTCATAAGGTGTCATAGACCTCAATGTAAGACCTGAAAATTCTAGAAGAAAAATAGGGGAAGCACTTCAAGATTTTGGTACAGCAAATGAGTTTTGGGGATGTAACTCCCCAAAAATTGGAATCAAAAGCAAAGATAGACTAATAGGATTACAAAAACCTAAAAACTTCTACACAGCAAAGGAAACAATCAACTTTACAGTAAATTCGGTGGGGAAGCCATATTTCTAATACATGTAATATTCTTCCAAGGTATTAAAACACACACACACACACACATACACACACACACACACACACACACACTGAACAATTAGCCTGCAGAATAGGAGAAAATACTTGTACACTATTACTCTGACAAAGAGGTGACATCCAAAATATGTAAAGAGCCCAAGAAACTCAGCAACAAAAGCCAATTAATCCAATTGCCAATGAGCAGATTATCTGATTAGGCACTTCTCAAAAGAAAGACAATAAATGGACAATAAGTATACCCCCCCAAAAAAAATGCTCAATAGCGTTAGCTATTAGGGAAATGCGGATCAAAACTATAATAAGGTATCATCATCTCATTCCTGTTATAATGGCTACCATCAAAACAAGATGTGAGGGATGGGATTGTGGCTCAGTGGCAGAGCACTTGCCTTGATCCTCAGCACCACATAAAAATAAGTAAATAAAAAAATAAACATATTGTGCCCATCTACAACTAAAACTATATTTTAAAAAAATGATGTGAGAGGATGGGGAGAAAAAAGAAACCCAAACACTGTTGGTGGAAATGCAAATTAGTACTTCCATTAGGGAGAAGGTATGGCTATTCCTTAACCACTAAAAATAGATCTACCATATGACCCAGTTCTCCCACTTGTGGGTGTATATCCAAACAAAATGAGGTCAGCATACCAAAGAGACCCCTCTGTGTCCATGTTTATTGCCACACTACTCACAATCGTTAAGTAACCTCCTAGGTGCCCGTCAACAGATGAATAGATAAAGAAAATGTAACACAGTGTGACTCACCAGAAAGAATAAAATACCATCATTGGCAGCAAATGGATGGAACTGGAGGACATGATGTTCAGTGAAGTCAGCCAGACATAGAAAGACAGGTGCCACATGAACTGTCTTAAAAAGGAAGCTAGGGAATGTGGACCTTGATGTATAGCATTGATTACTGTAGGTAGGGAGGGGTGGGCAGGGTAGGAAGAGATAAGGAGGTTATATAGCAACAGTGTGCCCTGTCTGCATGTGTGGAAAAATCACACCAAGCCCATTAATACATTTAATTAATATGTGTTAGTCAAAATAAATTAATTGCAAAAATTTTTTAAAAGTAATATTCAGCATTTTCATATAATCAAGTCATAAAAAGTAAATAACAGGAATCACAAAAAGATAAAAACCAAAAGAACTCTTTAAGATATGTCATTCATGCTGTTATTCCAAACAAATTGAGTTGTGTTATAAACAAAGCCTTAACGATAATAGAGTGAATATTTTAAATGAGTTACATAGACAAGACTGCAGTCTACTGTAGCAAAATATTAGGCCTAAATTACTTGCCATTGAAGACCTCTGAAAAGGGCTTGTGTTTGTGGTTTGAATATAAAAAGCTAAGAAATGCTAATCATTTTTCTGGAAATTAAAATCATAAGCTAGTAGATTAATCAGTGTGTCTAGTGATCTTTCACATGTAGAATAGTAGAGATGATGGGGATTTTTAAAGAAGTGCATAGAATTTTTAAAATATTTTCAATACCGAGATTGAAGAAACAAAACATAATGCAGTGTAATTTATCCATACACTAATCTTTATTTAAAAAGAATGCAACTAAGTTAATTATACGATGATGCTAAGTGCAGTAATTTAAATTTTGGTTTCTTAAAAAATAAAGTACCAGTTCAATATACTGAATAATTGTCTTTTAAAGACATATTTTTTAATTGCTAACTTTTCTACTGCTTAGGATTTATACACAACATAATATAGGGACACTGGAGAGACTTTTTTACATTTTTTGTAAAACATGAATATACCAGACTATTGTATCATTCGGTCTAATGACCCACCTGGTTTCATGTAGAACTATGGCCAACTCACTAAAGGAGTGCAGTATAAAACATTAAAAAAAAATTTAAAAATTTGGATATGTACTTAACACTCCAAGTGAAATTAACATTTCCATTCAACTAAAATTTTGCATATTTTAAAGAAAAATCTGATATCTGACACAAGATCTGAGGGATAAAATAGATTTACCTGTTCCTTAAAGATTCCCAGTCTATGACAGGAATGAAGGAAATCACCAGGTTACTCCAAGTGCATGATGCAACTGAGGAGGAAGTCAGCAGCCTGGTACCACTTGAAACTCCATCTGGCGATGCTCAGCTTAGCCTAGAGAATTGCAAAAGGTCGCTCAGAAGAAATGAGCAAGAAACAGAAAGGAAAGGGTGTCATCCTGGACTGTGGGGTTGTCCAGGGAGGAAGCAGTGGGAACTGGGGGGGTTCTGCAGGCGCCACGTGCCCTGTCTCCCTAGGATATCTGCCGCAGTCTGGCTATAATTTTTATTTCACCTTCATAATTGGGATCAATTACCCCAGGACTTATCATAAGTCCTTTTAGAGTAGAAGAGCTGCGTCCCAATAATAAGCCTACTGTTCCTTTGGGAAGAGGTCCTTTTACTCCTGTGGGAATGATTTGAACTCCCATCTCTGGAGTTAGTACTGCTCTGGCGGAGGCGCAGATATCCAACCCTGCACTCCCTCTGGTTTGTCTGATGAGGGATCTGATGGACAATGTGTCCTGGGCACTACCCTGATGGGGTTGCTGGGTTCCTCCAGTGCTCCGTATATTTGTGGTTCTGGGCCCCGGAGCATTGGGCCAAAAATTGGGCAGATATCCCACTCTCCTCTTGTCTCTCCAGCCCCATCTGACCTCTTCCCCTCCCAGATCACCCAGCCTTGGTTCCACCTCAGGTCCCACTGGCTGTTCCCTGTGCCCCCAAATCTCCAGGTCCCAGGTACTGGCACATCTGTGTGTCCTTCAGATCTTTACCCTTAAATAGTACCTGCTTACCAGAGGCCTTCCCTGGCATGATGTGAAATAAAAACTCTCCCTTTCTTGACCCTTGCCTGTTCTATTTCTCTGTCTAGCACTTATTAGTAGATGACCAATCATTTATTTGGGGGTGTATTTGTTTACTCTCTTCTCTCATAGACTTTGAGCAGCTCCATGGTTGACTTATCTCTGGCATGTTAAAGAGTATTACATAAGAACTATGATGGCTTCTCTACACTGTGGCTGAATGAAAGAATGAATGGGCCTTTCTGTTCACTCTAGGAATGTGCTCAGAGCTGTTTGCTCTCTCTCTGATCTTAATTAGTAGTTAAAAAAAAAAAAGAACTGGGAATGTTGGCTTCAATGCTATCTTCAATTATTGACTATATAGTTCTAAACTCATTGTACTATCACTTTCACACCTAAAATAGCATGAAATATGCAGTTGGTATTCATATTTCCAATTGTCTCTAAGTGTAACTTTTTCTTTCTTATGTTTATGGGTGCATTATAGTTGTACATAATGGTGGGATTTGTTGCTACATATTCATACATGCACACAATGTAGCAATATAAATTGGCCAATATCACTCCCCAATATTCACCCTTTTCTTTCCCTCCTCACTCTCCCTGGTCACTTTTCTTTACTAATATCCTTTCAGTTTTCATAAGACCCTCCCACCCCACCAGCACGCACTTTTTTTTTTTCCTTAGGTACTGGAGAGGATGTGGAGGAAAAGGAACACTTTTACACTGTTGGTGGGATTGTAAATTACTATAAGCACTATGGAAATCAGTATGGAGGTTCCTCAAAAGACTAGGCATGGAACCAGTCATGACCCAGCCATACCAATACTCCGTATTTATCCTAAAGAATTAAAGTCATCACACTACGGTGATACACACATACCCCTGAGAACAGCCCCACAGCTCACAATAGTCAAACTATGGAACCAGTCTACTTGTCCATCAAATGAATGGATGGATAAAAAAAATGTGGAATATATATATGCACAGTGGAGCTTTATTCATCCATAAAGAAAAAAAGAAATTATGTCATTTGTAGGAAAATAGATGGAACTTGAGCCCATTATTTTAAGAGAAATAAGCCCACTTCAGAAGTTTGTTATATTCTCTCTAAATGTTACTTTTTACATTTTTTAAAGGAGTATCCATATAAGACCCTCAGGTTCACATTGGTCGATAGGACTTTTAGGTATCTTTTCAACTTTCACCTTCATCTTTTTCCCCCCTCCATTGAATGGTGTTTTTGTTGCTGCTGCTGCTGTTGTTGTTGTTGTTGTTGAAGAAGGAGGTAGGACATTCGTCTTTGGAGTTGGAAGCAGTTTCTGGATTTCACTGCTTAGAATGCTAGGTGAGCTTTGAGATGCTCCTCTGTTCTCCATATTTCCTATACATTTGCTGTGGGGTTGAGACTCAGGGTTTGCTCAGATTCAGAACCTGGTTATTTCAGCCACAGGGCGTCAGAGAGGGTGAAGTGCTCCTGCATCAGCCAGGACTTACTGTATGCTTACCTTTATTTCTTTTTTTTTTCAAAGGTAGAAATCATTACAGATTCAGTTCATGTTCTTTTGCCCTTCTTAATCCAGTGTGCAATTTTTCTTTATCAGGAGTATATTCTTCTTATGGGTGTTTTTGTGCTTTAATAGACAGTTATATAAACTGCCTCTTTTATATTAACATAATAGTATGTTTACATTATTACATGTGGCATCTGAATTTGTATCTGATACTAAAAATTGTTTTTTCTACTCAACATTTTTCCCTCATTTATTCAACTCTTAACTATTTCATCCCTTTTAATGCAGTATTACACAATATACTGTGGCATGCAATATCCCATAATAAACACATCATGAATAGGTGGCATTTTGCCATTTAATAAACATTGTAACATTTTGTGTGCACCATGCCACACATAGAATCGCTCAGTCCTATAGAGAGATACATCTAAATGTCACTATAACGTGCTGAATTTTTTTTTTCCAGAGCCCTGATAACATTTTGAACTCCTACCAGCATTGTTTTTCCAAATCAATACCAATCGTTGGTATTGTCAGAGTTTAAATGTTTGTCAATCTGATATTGGTAAAATAGTTCACCATCTGAGCATCTCCATGTGATCTTTGGCTATTTATGGTCCTTCTGTGAGTGATCTGTTCATATTATTTAGCCACTTTTAACCGAGTTTCAAAAAATTATTTTTCTTATTAACTTATAGGAGTGATTTACTTATTCAGATAAATAATCCTTTGCCAGCTATTGTGTTACAAATATCTTCTCCTGGATTTTAACTTGTCTTTTCATTGTGTTTATATTGTCCCTTGTCAAACAAACATGTTATTTCTGCTTTAAAATTTGTACTTTCGTTGCTTGTTTAAAAAATCAATACCTCCTTTAAACTGTTATTTTGTTCAAATTTCAATTCCATTTTTTCCCCTGTGGTGTAGTATATAAATCTTTTATTATTTTTTTTTTCCATATAGATTGTCCCCAATCTGAAGTCTTTCCTTTCCCCCACTGATTTGCAAGCCCACCGCTGCGATTGACCAGTTTCCCAGATAATGGTGAGCTGATTTCTGGGATCCTTGTCCTATTCCATCCATCTAATTGTTTATCCTCATATGTAGGCACTATTGACAATTGAGGATAAAGGGTTCATAAAGAGGAAAATTAACCAAGAAAAGACTCTTTGGTAACAGCTTTCTCTATTTTCAACGATCTACCAATAACCATTCCAGTTTTCACAGATTACTTCATCCGTTGTATATCCCAGTGGGTATCCTGGCCAAAATCATGGAATTGCTGCAAGCAAACACATTTTATATTCCCTCTCTCTTGGAAAAATTCCCCGCCTAACATCCTTCTCCCCTCCTGGCCCGGCCAGCCCCCTTCCATATTCATGGCTCATGTGAGCTCAGCACATGTCGCAGTTCACCAACTTCTCTGGGTTATTCACGTGGTTTTCTTCCCCCATGACCATTTTTTTTCCCTGTTGCCTTGTGAACTCTGAAATACGTGTCATGACTGAAAAGAGCGATGAACATAATATCACAGACCTGGAAGTCTGCACTGAAGGCGGATCTGGTAAACATTGAACATTCCCGTTCAAATTATACCTTTGTCCAAGAGCAAAGGCACATTTACCTATGTCATTGAAATGCAAAAAGTCTAGCAGAAATGAAGATGACTGTAAATATTTCCTTTCAACTCCTTTTGCATTTATCTATTTGACCTCCTTTCTAGTCTCTGACATTTTTTTGGCCAACCTGGTGCTAATATGTCATCAGGCAAGCCAGCAACAACGTGGAGATCCTATTATAAGAAAAAAAAATTAAAGGCTTTAAAATATTGTTGATTGAAGAACATAGAAAACATCATTTAAAAGCCTTCTAAATTACCATTCCCTTCGTTGCTGCTAAATTTCCCTTTGTCTCATTTCATGCAGCTGGTCTGAATGATGACAAAGTGGTTTGTGATTATGTGGGTGACATTAGGCGCCAGCTGAAATGGACACTAACGGAAGACTCCAGCATCCTGAATTTATAATTCCTGCTACATCTGGCACTGCACCAACTTTACAAATATGCAGCCCCCTTCCCCCTCTTTTTTTTTCCCTGTAAATCCAATGGCCAACGAATGCTGCTATGGCAACAAAAGCTGGAAAAGCCAGGGGGGCCTTGGCTGTAAAGAGAGTGTTTAGAGCATCATGGTAACTGGGAGCCTAGCGGCAGACTATCAGGCAACCACACACTGTTACACATCCTGTCTGGAAGCAAACGTTTCCACCAAATTTATTTACCTGTGTTGTTGAATCCCTCGCTGCAAAATTCCAAGAGCTCTTACTGTTATGATGGTTTTCATTTTCAATTATTGTATGGTTCATTCAAATCACACAGGTACATTTCCACCAGTTATAAGATGCTTCCTAAAATAGACTTTTAGAAACTGAACACAGCTGTCAAAATAATGTTATCGTCTTCAAGAATCTGTTTCGAAGATAGTTATTCCAAAGAAATTTAAAAGTTATATTCCTATATTAGCACACTAAGTAGTTCATACCAGTTTAGTAAATCAAATATTCCATACTGCTAGCTTAATAAGATGGGGAGTCATGCATGAAATGACTGTCAGGTTAATGACATAGGGAGCCATGCATGGCATGTATTTGCATATAATAGCACCGAATGTTCCCCTAAATCCTTTAAATTACTCATCAATTCTTAAACAGGCATTTAACTAAATCCTCATTCGGAATCAGGAAGAAAGTTTTTTTTTTTTTGAAGGAAGAAAAAAGTCACCTATGTATTTGAAGTGAAGAGATGGGAGCTAAAGAAAACCTGGAGGATGATTTTTGGTTGGAAATTCTAACCTTGGGGAAAGACTTACAGATCTGCATAAAGAAAGGAGCACATTTCCTCGGCCAGGGGAGAAGCCGTACCAATCTCCAGCCCATCTCCCCACACTCTCTGCATCACGTTCACAGCAAGCACTGATCGGAAGTTTCACTACTAGGCTCAGAAATGAAGACGTATCTCTAAAGCAGCATGGAAAAGTGCAGATTAAATCTAGAATTGTTTATTGTGTGCAAGGTTTTGATGGAACCAATCTGAATGAAATGAACAGGTTTTCTTTCACTTGGCAACCTATGCATTCAAAGTATTAAGGAGCATGTTTATCTCCGAATCCCTGTTTCCTCTGGTTATGTAACCATTTCTACAAACTGAGCATACCGTTTGCAATCAGGCCAGTTATAAACCCCAACTGTTACTCAGAGGAAGTCAGAAAGCACCCGTGTCACAGAAAGGCTATTTTCCCCAGCTGATAGTGATGGCTTACAGAGAGTATCATTCACACTCACAAACACTCACTGTGAAAAAGGATGTACAGACATCTAAACATCTAAGCCCATCCAAAGAAGAAAGGAAGAAAGAACTAGGTAATTGGTAATCTCTTCCTGTCATGTCCAGTAAGCATGACAGCTTGCCACTGTGTGCCAAATGCGTTATGAAAACTAAGCTACAGCACAGATCTCTCTCCATTTTAGC